GGGGTAAGGGGGTGGGGGGTGGTCACAGATGGGAGACACAGCTGCATCCCTGAGGTTCAAGGAGGGCTAATTCCTAATCCCACCCACAGCGTTTCCTACCTAGTGCAGAAGGGGGCGTCCACGGAGTCCAGTAGAGAGGTCGCAATGTCCACGCTTCCTCGTGAGTAACACCTCTTCCTTCCGCTCACACCTCAGGGTCCACAGACCTTGCTGAGCAACCCCCCACACACACACCTCTTGCAGTCCAGGTTAGCTGTGTCCCTCACCCACTGCGATCCCTCAGCACCTCCGTCCTCTTGCTGGACCCGAGGCTCCTGGCTAGGGAAGGTGTCCTCACTTTGGATCCTCAGTAGCTCCCACAGGAGGCACCCCATACATGTTGGTTTGAGGAGTGCTTGGGTCCATGGCTGCCTGCACAAACAACTGGATGCATGGGGCCGGCTGACAGCTGACTGAGGCACAAGGCTAGGGCTCCCCCCACCCACAAATGTTCCTTTTTCTCCTTCCTGCCAGGAAGGAGTATGGAGTCCATCAGGCTGGGAATGGCCCGAACAGGAGGCATGGTGGTCATCACGGTGCTGCTGTCCGTGGGCATGTTCGTGCTGGTGGTGGGCCTCATCGTCACCCTGGCCCTGGGCACACAGAAGTGAGGAGGGCTGACCCCATCCCCAGCATGCCTCCTTCCAGGCCTTGGTCCGCACCACTCCCCTGGAGTCCTTCCTCCCTCTGCCCCTTGCCTTGCGCCTTGCTGGCCAGTGTCTCATTCTCCTGTCCCTGCAGTTCCCTCACCTGTTCCTGTCAGCATCCACCTTCCTCCCGTCTTACCACCACCCCACACATACCAACGCGTGCTCCCTGTGACCTGGGTCTTTCCAATAAAGCCTGTCTGTCCTGTTTCCCTTTCATGGGCACAAATCTCTAGGCTTGATGTCCAGACAGCAGCTATCTCAGTCCCCTCGCTGCCTCGAGCCAAGTGGCTTTGCCCATGTGGGAGGCAGATCAGAGCTGCCTCTCAGACCCAGACCTGACTGTGGCTTTTGCACAACAAACCACCCCCTGGATGAGGGCAAAAGCTGAGACTGGGACACCAGGTGGGGATCTCGACTCAAGAGCCTAGGCCAGAGCCTGACAGCAAGGAGAAGGGGCGAGATATGACAGGGCCACCAAGCAGAGTGAGCTCGAAGGACAGGGCACTGGAGGGAAGGTGGCAGAAGGCTAATGGGGCCGGGGAGATAGCTCAGTAGAATAAGCGCCTGCCTGGCAAGCGCAGGATCCTGAGTTCAATCCCCAGTACTGGAAAAAAAAAGAAAAAAGAAATCATCTAACCCAGAAGGCTAACAGGGCTGTCAGAGGTGGAAGCTGCCTGGCTGGAGGGGACAAGAGTAGCACCATGGGGTGACTGAGGGGACAGGACCAGAGTGCTCCCCCATTCTCTTTTTTTCTGTCTTTTTTTTTTTTTTAAATCTGGATTATACTATGTGTTCTAAATCATTTATTTTTTTCTTTATTTTTTATTTTTTTCCCAATAATTTTATTGATAAACAAATAGCAATGAGACAGTTTCAAATCAAATTAGTAGGACAGTTTCAATAATTCACACATTGCATACATTCTTCCTAGTGGTTAATTGCTGTACGAGATGCGGACATGATATCCTATTTACTGAACTCACTTTGTAGAAGAGACTGATCTTCAACTCACAGACTCCACCTTGGAACCAGTGGATTACAGATTCAGACATGAGTCTCCTCTCCCATTTTGTTTTGTTTTGGTTTTTTTTTTTAAATTTTGTTTATTTATTTGTGTGTGTGTGTGTGTGTGTGGCCAGCTCAGCCCACCAGGGGGCGGGGCTGGCTGGCATGTGGTGCTGCCTGGCATGTGGTGCTGGGGGATTGAACCGTGGTCCCTGTGCTTTGCTAAACTTGGTCTAAGTAGGTGCTTTAGACCACTGAGCCATCTCACCAGCCCCTCCTCTCCCATTTTGGGTATGCATCCCAGTCATGAGGAAAGTGACTGAGACAGTGACCTTTAAGGCTAGCCTGATGTATCCCAGGATACCTCATATACTAGGCAAGAGTTCTACCCCTGAGCTATATGTCCCGCCTTGGCATTAGGTAATGTGCGTATATCCAACACCCAGAATTTTTTTTTTTTTGAGGTTATGAGCAGAATATATTTTTTTTTTGAAAAGTTAGAATTTTTTTTTTAGTATGCCTATTCTTAGTCCAAGAAATGGGTAACATTCACACAGACACATGTTATCTACCTTTTTTTTTAA